TACTAATCAACCTATGCTCTATTCCAATTGAGCAAAAGAAGAACCTTCTACTATTTACAAAGAATAGTCCTATTTATATTCATTCTATTAGGCTCAAATTGATTATATGCAAATGTAGTCATAGTTTAATAATCCCATTAAAAATGGCGTAATAACTAATAAAGTAAAACCTATGACTATAACAAATTATAACATTACACAAAAAGCTTGTTTAATGATGATGTCACGTTATTTTCGTAACACCATCTTATCGTTATGAAACGTTTTCAAATTCATGACACATTTATATGGATATTTGTCTTTTGCTAATCCTAATTAAAATAAGGAGGCATGATTCTAACTACGTAGGGATGTTTATATGCGTAGGCACAATTTGAAAGAGCTTCTTTTTATAGAGTCACATAATAATAAAAATATAATGAAATAAGTATGCGTAATAATGAAAATTGATTGCCAAAAATCCGAAATTTAGCGTTAACTCAATTACCAAATATACACTAGCTGTATATGTATATTTAAAAAAAAATAGCATATTATTTATTTTATTGAATTCATTTACTTCCCGGAGTTTCAAAAACCTCCTTATTGAAGCCATTAAATTTATACCATTTATAACATGCGCTTAAGGAAAAAATTATTAATGTAGTGCCGACAACAGCACTTATAAGTGAAATAATAAATATTGTTGAGCTAATGCCTTTGTTTTCTGTACATGTACTATTATTATAAACCGACGTTGGCAAGCTAACCAATGATGAAGTTTTTTGATTTGAATTAAATTCATTTACCCATTTATATTCAGAGTCATTACTTATATCAAGAATATAGATATTATTACTTAATAAACTGGTTTGATAATTAAAACCTATTTATAATTTAATATTTTAATACGTATGTTAATAAAATTATATACAATAATATTATATAATAAAAAAATTTATAATTAATACTTACCATATGCTATAATCATATAATTATCAACAACATTTGCTGTATGAAGAAGTAAAGGAGGAGGTATAAAACCACCAGACACGTTTTGAGAAATCCATTTAAAAGGTTCTGAACTCAAATTCAATACAGCTAAAGTTGGTGCTGCAGGATGATTAGAACCTTTTGTGCTTTCTCCTCCATATATAATCAATCGATTTTTATTTAAACCTTTTATTTATTTGATAAAAATTTTATTATTAATTTATGACCGATATTGTAAAAGAACTTTGTAAAAGAACGTTGTCAAGAATTTCAATTACCTAACACAGAAGTAAAATATCCACGACTTTCAGGAATTTCACCTTGTGTAGTCTTTAAAATGACAAGAAAATTTTACTACATATTACATATTAAGGAAAAAAATATTAACAGTTAAGAGAATATCAAAAAGAAACTTTAATATACCGTATTTCGCCATGTATTATTATTCGTATTATACAAATAAACCTAAAGAATATCACAAGTTTAATTAAGATAATAAAAAAATTGATTATCTGTATGTCTATTTGTATAAAATAAAATAAACTTACAATATCTAAGTCAATAGTTTTACCAGAGAAATATCCACCTAAATATAAGATATTACCATCTGGCAATAAAGCAGATACGTAGCCGTCTCTTCCAGAAAGACCACCTGCCAAGGTAAAATTTGACCAGGTAAATCCAATAGTATCTAGTAAATCAATGGAATTATAAACTATTCCATTAATATTATCAAATCCTCCAAAGGCATACAATCTTCCAGAATTATATATAGGTCGAACACCTTTTCTTATAGGTGGTATAATTCCATTTGTTGTTAAAGGTGTCCAGATATAAGTTTTTGTATCAAAAGTGTATATTAATTGATAACCATAACTATTATTTTTTCCTATACCACCAAAAGTTAATATTATATCATTATAAGGGCCAATGACAGAAGAACCGGCTACATCAATACTTGGAATATCGGTTAAATCTGAAAGATTTTTATAAGGTATACTATCAATTGTGCTATTAAAGCTCACAGAGCAATCAATGTAAAAGAAATCATTTGTAATAACAGATCTATCCAGAGTTGTTGAGCCACCAATAAAATATAATTTATTGTTAATATATGCTGATAGATGACCAGATCGTGGGTTTGGAGAATATGAATATGCAAATACTGCAAATAATTGCAATATGAGTAATAAAATGTATGTCAAGTTCATCATCTTAAAAAACAAAAAAAGATGTAATTTACAGAAAAATGTTATTACGATGAATTTATATTTTAATTATATTAAATTATTCTTGTGCATCAATTTTATGTAAATAATAGGACTTACGTACAATACATGCAATTAAGATTTTTGTAATAGTTGGAAATATATAACATTTAATTTATTACACGAATTTGATATATTAATATTATGCTGTACCTTGCATTAATTCTAAGTTCTTTGATAACTTATGGATTTCCTACCAAATAGTGTTACATCATTTTACTAAAAAACCTATTATTATTTATGTTTTTTTTTTTAAAGTAAACACCTCACATATTTATTTAACTATGTACATATGAGACTGTAGTAATGATCAATCGACTTCGTAATACAAACAACGTTAAAAACAATGATTAAAAAGATCATGAAGACTAGAATTCTTCCATTTTATTCGTGCATTCAAATATTATAGTGCTTTAAGGCATACTATGAACGTAGTGAAACGATAAGTATATGAACTAAAAAGATTTTATAGTAGAACTTATTTGACTTATTTGATAAGGGTTGCGTTAGTGTTTGTGTTTGAATTATTATATAGAACACATTTTCAAGGCTCCCGTACTGGATTTCTAATCCTTGGCTTTCTTGATCCTGAGTTCATTTATGTAACATACTATAGCAATGTTTTCCACGTATACTTCTTTCGATCTTTTTGTTTAAAAATTGTTTTTTTTTTTTAATTCATATAGTTCAGCTTTTTATCCATAACAGGTATTTTATTTCTTTTGAATTAGTTTACCTTTTGCTTCAGTGTCATCAAATATCTTATTGTCTACTTGCAATGCCTCTGTTTATACTAAAGATTTAGCATATAGTAAATATTCTTTATTATTATGTGGTTCCGTAATATGTATGAAAACTGTTTCTAACGAGTGAATGATTTGGTTATATGGTATATTCGTTATTGTCCGAAGCGTAGTAAGGACCCTTTCTGTTTAAGTAAAGTTAATGCACTATAATGTAATGCTTGACAGGAAAAGCCAATGAAATTTGATGACCGATAGTTCTGCGGTCAAATATTACAACTTATCGCATAAAAATCCGCAGTTCAGTGATACTTAAAAATTTCGCAAATAGCCGATAGATAATCACAATTTGGAGCAATGTAATACGATCATGAAAACAAATGTCCATTTTTGAAAAAAAATCGCATAAATAGGACTATTCTTTGTAAATAGTAGAAGGTTCTTCTTTTGCTCAATTGGAATAGAGCATAGGTTGATTAGTA